AACACTCTAAAGAGAAAGGAAAAAATGAAATCGCATCATATGACCCCTTTAAAATCCATAGGAGGAAGGCTATCTGTTGGGGGTGGGGGGGATTATGTAATACCATGGTGTAACCACTAGATGCATGCGTATATATATATATGTATATATAGTGCTACGAAATTAATTTTCAGAAAAATGTTTTAGGTTTTGCATTTGTATATACACATTATCAAAGACTACTTCATTGTGATTGATTTGTAGATTGCACGGTTCCAATGAAGGACTAAATTCAAAACAAACAGGTGTCTAAAATGACCAGGTTAAATTAAATTTAAAGCTTACCTCAGACTTCCAGTGCTCTTACTGTTGTGCAGGGTCTTCTTAGTGGGTTTCTGTGATAGCAAAGCTCATAAGTAAAATATAAATTAGGCACCCACAAAGATGACAAATGGAGGGTCAGTACCTTTGGGCCTTCAACTGGAGCAGCCTTGTTTTGACCTGATGACCTTGGCTGGCCTACTGTGGCACTCAAACCTAAAAGAAATTAAAGCTAACCTTAAAGGAATGAAAGTTACATCTAAAAAAAAAAATTTTTTAAACACTTTATAGTTTAATTAAACCTTTTTTGCTTGGCTTTCGAGATAAGGGTTTCTGAATTTCTGGAGACGCACACTAAAAGAAAAAGAAAGAAAACAACCACCAGCGCTGATGTAAGTGGTGCGGTTACCTTAAGCGAACACCAGAGGGCAGCAAAATCATTTTACCGTGAGCGCCATGGTGACCTCCCCCACAGACGTGTCATCATCTGAAAAACATTAGAGGTTATAAATAGTAATAAAAACCATCAAGACAGGACAAACAGGCTCTGTAATTGTAGTACCATTCATTAGGTCTTTTATCAGCGTGGTGTGGAGCGACTGCGGCATTTTCATCAGCTCTATTTTGAAGACTCGGTCCACAGTGGCCAGTAATTTGTTCAGATTAGCCTCCATTTCATTTATCCGGTCCTGGGCTGTTCCGGTGCAAGTAAAAGACTGGGTTAGTTAATATATATAAACGTAAAGAGCACATATTGATTGTAATATATGACTGACCTTCCTTCTCAAACTGCTGTATAAACAGCTCCTTTCTCTTAGTAACGTTAAGTCTAATTTTCTGGTCATAGTTGTGCTGCCCGTCGGACTGACCGGCAGAATCCTGACTGACTTTTCTAGCTCTTCGTGAAGCCATGCTACTAACAACACAAGACAGAACTTAAGAACTTTTTATAAACAGTACAAAACTCGAAGCAGGTGTTCGCCAATTACCTTCTTCTGTTTTAATAGCGAAGGTTCAGTAAAAAGGTTCACTAGCGCCACTTACTGGCCTGGATGCGCTTAGTTCAGGTTTTTCCTCAAACTGGTGCTCGGCTGCTGGCGAATCTCCGGCTAGAAGGGATACGTATACGTATGGCGCTACTGGGCATGCGCACATCAATACAGCGTAATTTTTGTCACACTGTACAACAATAATTACTATTTTTAGATTATTGTAAGGAGTAGGTTTAGGGTTGGGGTAGGTGTAGTCGTTAATAAAACGCAATCTATTTTAAGCGACGATACGCGACGTCATATGTGTGCGACACATTTAGATGTCTACTACAGAAGCCTCCTGTCAAGCATGCGAGTGTTTGATTCTCACATGTAAGATTTCTGGCAAATATGGGTAAAATACTGGATGATGCCGTGGATAGTGGCGGAATAGAAGTGATTATTCAGAATGAAAGGGACAAAACGGCACCACGGTGTCCACATGGTATGAGATCAATTATACGTTTATTGCTGCCGTGTCAATTTTCTTATTCTAAAATGCAACGTTAATTAATACCATATGTAATCATCGATACGTGCTTTTCCCAGGACCCGCTCTGTTGTTCGAGAAAACTGGCAATGGAGAGGAGAAAGGAAGGAGATTTTACGCGTGTTCTGCTTGTCGGGACAGAAAAGACTGCAACTTTTTTCAGTGGGCAGACGAACAGGTTAACTAGGACTAACATAGTATTTATTGTTGTACCAATTTCAATGTAACAGGTTTACAAAGGTTCTTTAATGAAACATTAAGAATTGTACAAGCAAACTTACGTTTGAATAAAATAAGACGAATATATTAAATCCTGTAAAGCCTGACATGAAATAATAGTTATGGGTCAAAGACGAAAGAGGCTTTTCAAGCATCAAAACAATAAGTGTAATACAGCTTTGAATTGTTGTTTTTTCAATACATTAGAAAGTGTCATGTTTAATTAAATAGTTTTTTTTTTTTTCTGCGCAAAAAATAAATATAATAGGCTAAATTTTTACCATGATTTACAAAAAACAGCCACTAAAATGTCATTCAGTGTAACAATCTTGTCAGGCATATTTGTGACCCTGGACCACAAAACCAGTCATAAGGGTCAATTTCGAGAAATTGAGATTTATACATCTGGAATCTGAGGGTGCAAAAAAATCAAAATACTGAGATAAACGCCTTTAAAGTTGTCCAAATGAAGTTCTTAGCAATGCATATTACTAATCAAAAATTAAGTTGAGATATTTACGGAAGGAAATTTACAAAATACATGAACTTTACTTAATATTCTAATGATTTTTGGCATAAAAGAAAAATCGATAATTTTGACCCATACAATGTATTGTTGGCTATTGCTACAAATATACCTGTGCTACTTATGACTGGTTTTGTGGTCCAGGGTCACAATTACCACAAGAATCAGTTCATAACATATTAAAAGACTAATTAGTTTTACCCCAAATACTACTTAATAGTAATTTTACATTTTTAAACTATGCCACTATCCCATTTTGGCCATTTGTCAGCAATAAAGTTTTACTAATTTTCAATGCAATAAAATTTAGTATGCACACTTATTCTTTTATATACTTTAATACGTTCAGGTCAGAATAAGTATTCGGTTTAAATTTTTACATAAATATAAGTTTTACACTGGATGACAATGGAACATTATTTCACTCACATTTTGACATTTTATTCTCCCCAACCTTAACTGAAACCTTAAAAGTAGACACTTTACTTGCATTTAATGTGTTTTCTATGTATATAAAATCACTTTTGTACAATTTCTTTTGATGTGGACATTAAAATGTCTTTGACCCTTATACAAATCTGAAAGTTATGAAAGTATAAAAGTTGTAAAAGTAAATTTTTTTTAATAGAAAAATGGAATTATCAATCAGGCAACAGCACGTAGTAGATTGTGAGCATCAGGTTTTTCAGCAAGGTTTAGAAACTTATGTACCAAATATGATACAGTAAGATTTATAGGGTTAATATAATAAGCTAAAACATGACAGCTGAACACAAGCATGTAAGACATAATACAACAAAAATGAAACCTTAATCAAAGAAGACAAAAACATATGTATGAATACTAGTTTTTCATTCACTTTATGCATTTAATTTATGCTTCAGATATCTGAGGCAAGGATGCTTGCCAGAGAAGAACAGAACCGCTCCAAGATGCCTCTTTTCAGTCATCAGGAATACAGCTCTCGGTAAATAACTTTTATTTTAAAAACTACACTCATCAAATAAGATACTGGCATGTCTGTTTATGGAATGAGGAAATGACTGAAAACTGAAAAATAGTACCAGAGATACTACGACTCAACAAAATCTTTCATATGTGTACGTTTGTTTCTTCTACAGATTTAGAGCGTTTGTTTCTCTCCCGCTGGAGCAGAGAAGGTTCTGTGTGGACTGTCAGCTGCTGATTCTGCCTGGGGAACGGGCGAATCATGAGAAACACAAGGCACTTTCTGAGGACACCACAGTGCAGCGATTGAAAAGGCCCAGTCTACTTCTGTGTCCACTAGAAAACAAGAAGAGTAATGCACAATATCTGTTTGCGGATCGGAGCTGTCATTTCCTCCTGGATATGCTCTTGGGGTTAGGCTTCCAGAACATTCTCTGTGTTGGGACACCGCGGTAAGTGTAAGCAGTAACTGCTATACAAATTTCTATATTTAAAAAATCGTAAAGTGTGTGCAATTATTTTCCTGTCAGTAAAATTGGCAAAATATCCAATGTAATGTACAATCGATAACATATCTCCACATTTTAACTTTATAATGGAAGATTCTCTTGTACACATTCACAGATTACATGAGGTGATTAAGTTGCGGAATATGGAGGGCAAGAGTCCTAAAATGAAGAGTTTATTGCTGGATATTGATTACAGGTAAACACAATACAACATAATTCGATTACACTTTATTTTAAGGTGTCCTTGTTACAGTGTAATTATACATTTAAGTACTGTGTAATATTAATTAACTACATGTACTTACTATATGGTTAGGGTTAGGATTAGGTTTACTTGAATGTAATTATGCATCATTTATTGTTATTATAATTGTAAGTACATGTAACGTGTAACAAGGACACCTTAAAATAAAGTGTTACCCATAATTCTTTGCAAATACAAGGTTAAATAGCCACATAGACAGAATTAAATTCTGCACCAGACTTTTTGAGTATTTTATGTGGAATTTATATTTATTTATTAGTATATATTTTTATTATATACTACACTCTTTTTACATTGTTTTGCATAAGGTAGAAGAGTAGACTGTTCCTCCAGTTTACCTTGATAACCTTTGCTTTTTTTGTACAAGACATATGCCTATATATTATATGCTTGCACTATTAATAACTGTTAATGCTCATAAAGATTGTCCTGTATCTAAGAAATATAATATACATTACCGTTCAAAATTTGTGTCTTTTAAAGAAATGAACACTGTTATTCAGTAAAGACTTATTAAATAGATCAAAAGTGTCAGTAATGTTCTAAACCAATGTTACAAAAGATTTCTGCTTGAAATAAATATCGTTTATTAACTTTATTGTTTTTATTATTGCTAATAATAATTAAAAACTGAGATCGCATATTTCCATATGATGATGGCCTTTGTCTTTGGGTGAAAAAAAGCGGAAGGCTGGGTAGAGAGGCTCAGTAAACTGATGATGTGCTCTTTCAAACACAGCCGTTTGCACTGCTGAAAACTCTTGTAGCGTTCTCATAGTCTCAGCATCATAAAACACCAGACGGCCCTTCTGATACTTTACAAACACCCCTACTCTGTTTGGTGCTGCCCGAGCTGCTGTGACGGGTAGTGCCACATGTCGATCGTTGTGCCAGGCCATGAGATGCCCATTCTGAAACTCAAGACTCCACGAGCACCTGTTCCTTCCAAGCTTGGCACCTTTGTCCCGTCCTCTCCTCTGTAGGCTGCCATAAGCCACACCCACAGCCCATGATGGACAGCAGTGCACATCTACTTCCCAGTAGTGCTGCCCAGATGTAACGGCAACAGAGCCCAAGGCACAGTATAACTGATCAAACCTTAGAGGCTCATTGGGAATGCAGCGATCCTCTGAGGAAAGGCACAGGCCCCGTCCTTCTGAGGTCAACTTGATCTGTTTGTGACAGGTCTGTTTGTCAATCGCCACATTAAAGGAGTCTGTCAAGATGAAATGCAAGAATATTCAGAAACTTCCGATTTACTTACAGCATATTCTGAACATTTCTTGTTGTCCATTAGCTAATCCTTTCAATACAGTATGATATATGGAATATATAATACAGTCTAAAAAATTATGCAAACACCATAAATTATACTTTTTTTTTTTAATTATAGTATGCAGGATATACACTACCGTTCAACAGTTTGAGATCAGTATGTTTTTTTTTTTTAAAGAACTTATTAAATTATTACAATTTAAAATAACCATTTTAATAGATTTGAAAATGTATTTTATTCCTGTGATGGAAAGCTGAATTTTCTTAATTATATAAAAATATTAAATATTTCTTAATTGTTAACAATTCTGGGGGAATCTCAAAGAATGTTGAAAAAAAATTATATATA